CTAGGAGGCTGTGTGACTGTGCATTTGAGACGGCCGGATAGCTAGTGACCCAGCTTGACTGGCAACGTGCGCACGTGTTGTGCGCGGTCAGGGATAGCTGTGCCTAAAGCGTGTCGGATTCGAGAATGGTGTCTGGAGCTTGTCCTTTGCGAAACCATGCATCTAACAGTGTTCCAATTTGGCTAACTAATCTTCCTGAAATGTTTTGGGCGCCCATCCCACCTGCCTGAAAAAAGAGCTGAGGTTTTGAGGCTTGGGGTCTATTCTTAAAAGCTGAATGTGCAAAGGGTGGGGGCCCAGTGGGAACAGCTCCTTCTCAATGAGCTTGGTGTAGGCCTCAAAAAAGAATAACGAGTCTTGGACTTCGTGGACAACCCATCGCTATTAGGTTCAAGGCCATGGCTAGTAAGTTGGAGGCCTTTTTGGGCTCTAAAGTGCGAATCAGCTGAGTCCAGTGCGCTCTTTCCTCCTTGTTTGTTGAAATCTTCGATCTGTGCAAAGTTTCTTCGTTTGGCTATCAGCCTCAGCACTACAACTCTCAAATATCAAGATCAAAAAGGACCAAACATGATCAAAATGCTTTCTGACTGTGAGTCTTCATGGCTTTCTTGCGATTAGGCGACTTTTCGAGAGCAGGAGGGTACTGTCCTTGGCAAGTGCCAAGAAATGTGTTCTTGATGTGTCAAAGAAGCGAAATGATGTTCTTCCCACTTGCTCCAACGCAAAGCGATGGCCTTGAACCTAATAGCTTCTAGCTACTAGTAGCTTCCTTTTTCCTGGTAGTAAGGCCAGGAGCCCCGTTCGTAGCGATGCCCTTTGTTGCTAGTTAGTAGCGATGGCCTCCGGGCACCGGGCCAACACAGTACCAGCTACCAGGGGCGTCGCAGATCCGGTTCTTGGGATCTGCCACCTGAGATTGAAAGGTCGATCCCAACGAATAGAAAGGTCGAGAGCGCCAGATAAGCTATTAGCTTATTGTTTCTAATAGCTTCTTGTTACTACTAGTAAGGCACTTGTTACTAGAAGCGATGCACTTGTCTTTCTTTCTTGTGTTTCCTGATACCTTTCGACTCCTGGACTCAAAGGTGCTTCCAACGTGACGATACGCGATGCGATTCGCAAGTCCCTTTTTCGGCTCAAGGATTGGGGCACCATATCCCGAGATCACCTCGACGAATGCAAAGCACAAAAGCACAAAAGCACAAAAACTATTAGCTTCTTGTTACCACTAGTAAGGCACTTGTTACTACTAGTTACTAGTAACAAGACTCTATTGAATCTTTTGATGTAGATATCATAAGAAAACAGTTTCTCTTCCGTCTGTTCCTTCTCGTCTTCTTCCTCTTCCTCTTCCTCTTCTTGTTTTTCTTCTCTGGAACTCAATTTATCTCAATTGAACAATCGGTGAGTTACAAAAGAAGATCAACCAAGTTTCCAAGGTACTTCTCTGGGAGAAAGAGATGGCTTTGCACTTCTCTGCTTTGTTCCACAATTGGTCTTACAAACCCAAGGTTTTAGGGTGACTTTATTGGAACATCTTCGTACATCTTCAGCAACTTCGCAACCTCCTGTTCTGCTTCAAGGTCTTTCGACACGTCTTCAATCCGTCTCTGTTCCTCACAGAAGCTGGGCGCCTGCTTCACAGCGTTTCTCCAGGGCGCATGAGATGGGAGCAAAGCAAAGCTCATCGAAGCCAACACCCGCACCGGTGGTGCGCCTCCTTCGCAAATCAAGAAACATTCATGATTCATAAGCAAATCGCCTATGAAGATGTTGATTTGGGGTACAATTGTCTTCAATATGCATATCGCGCTTATTACCTATGCATCGCTTGCGAAATCGCTCGCTTCTCGCCTCTGGAAAAGCTCTGAATGTGAAATGGTTGGGTTCGATGTGAGAGCTTCCCGTCGAACACGATAGCTTTTCCGGTTTCGTAGCGGTGCGTGACCATCTCGTTGGCGTCCCATGGCTGGACTTCCTGGGAAGAAACACCAACTGCAGCTCACAAGTAGAAAGAACAAAAACAGTGTGAGCCAAAGCCTTAAAAATGCACCAAAAATCCTTTGGAACATCTTTGGTATTTTCCAAGAGGCTAGGTGGCCTTCATGGGGGAACTGGCTCGGGAACAAAGGCAGGAGCGCCGTGGCCGTAGCGCTTCGCGGGATCTTCGGTGGTCCAAAGTCCAAGTGGAACTTCGCGGCCTCCTGGAACAAACAGGATTTCTGCGATGGATGGCCTCCAACCAACAGAGCGATGGCCTCCAACCTACGAGCGATGGCCTTCGTTGATGTCTTCCTGAAAAACAGTTTAAGGTTGGTCCATCTTTCATGTAAAACATGTGAGTCACGCTATGTGAATTCTTGCAATTTTTTCAAGGTCTCTCGAATCTTCCTCTGAGCAGTCCCCGTTTGCCACCACCAAAGAAGCCGCTACCAAGGCGAAGTGCTCGGGGAGGGATCGGAGCACCTCTTCTGCCGGAAAAGCCTCCAAAAGGATACGCCAAAAGGATCAAAAGAATGCAAAATGGAAATGCAACGTAATAGCGGTGGCCTCCAATCTCCTAGTGATGGCCTCCAACCTAAGAGCAATGGCCTACTTCACAGCGGGGTCAAGCTTACTGAGTTTGGCCTACGTCCGACCTACTTGTGCGGCCTACCCTCTCTTTAGCAAAACTAAATAGCTAATGTTGTTTTCTTTTTTCAATTCTAATTGGAGTCTAATCCTAATTTTTGTTATTGTGGTTTTTCTTCTAATAGCTTCTTGTTCCTAGTACGGCCAGGAGCCACTAGCAGCGTCCGATCGCTCCGTTCGTAGCGATGCCAGGAGCCCCTCGTAGCGTTAAATAGATGGTTGGGTGCACGTGCACAACGGTACCTACCTTTGATGTTAATGGTAACAAGTGCCACGCTAATAGTAACAGGTGCCTTACTAGTAGTAAAAAAAAGCTATTAGAATTAAATTAACAATAATTTAATTAGAATTGTTTGTAGTGTTCTATCTGTTGGAACCTGAAAACCAAACTGAGCCCTGGTTCGCCAGAGCCAAGCCACTCCACTCTGACAGGTTCGCAGTTTGCCATGGTTTTCATGTTTGGATTTCTCGAGGCGTTATTCACTTGCCACTACAAATGTACAAGAAAAAACATCCGTGAACAAAAACGTGGCCAGTAAATGTGTTGAATCGCAGTTTTATATTTAAGGCGCGTTTCCAACAATTGAAATATTGATTTGTACTGCTTTGAAAAACCGCTAGAAACCAATTAAATGATTGATTGATTGATGCTTAAATTGTGTCCAATTAAAGATCCCTTTAAAATCATGTTTAAACCACAGTTGTGTTTCTTTGGGGTACTTGGTCGTCGATTAATAATTCCTTTGACAACACTCATCCTCCTCGCAAACTTTGTTCGTGCTTTTATCCGACACTGAGGAGCGGCTGATATGTCCAATGTCGAAATGCGTTTCCAAGTTTTGATGGCAATGTGCTGCCCAATTATTTGATAGATTTTTAGAAAAAAACAAAACACTCTCAGAATGGAGGCCATCCCTATTAGGTTGGAGGCCATCGCTATATATGTTTTGAGAAAGAAAAAACACTCCGATTCCGGCCTCCAAAGTGTTCCGGTCTGTGGCCCAGTGCCACGACATCGATTGGGGAAAAGCCACATTCAAGCCACCCGCGCGGCGGAAACTGCCTTCACCTTCCTTTCTCTTTCTTTCATCTTCATCTTCGTCGTCTAGATCCGTCTCAAAGAGGCTAGTAGGTGGGAGAGGGAGACTGCCAGGTGTCTCAAGCTCTTTTCTCAAATACTGCGCGGCCACGGACCGCAAGCCGCTGATCCGCTTCTCGGGGATCTGCACCACCCCGCAGCCCCGGCGCCGAAAATCGCGTCGGAAGGCGCGGCGGGAGCGCCGCGGCACCGGAGCGGCGGTCGACGTCGACGTGGAGCGGTCGAGCTTTGACCAGAAGAGCTTCACCAGGACTGGAGCATGGGACTGAAGTAGGGGGCGTAGGGACTGGGCTAATGGCCTCCAACCTAAGGGCATAAGGACTGGGCTTGTTTGATGACCAGCTTGTGTCAAGCAAAAGAGATTGTTCAAAAGTAGTTCGATCGAGTAGTGCATCGGCATTTAGACAATCTCACTGGGCTGGGGTTAGTGCTTGTTCATCGAATTACTTGATAATCTGGGAACCGTTTCAAGCATGCGGGTTCTTCAAGACAATGTCTCCCCCACCATAGGCAGGAGACGCTCTATTGCGTCCTTGCATCTAGTAGCTTCAAGCTAGCTGCTTAGATACCTCCTTTACTGGTCCTTACTGCTTTGCTACCTTTCCCGGTCGTTTCTGTCTCGGCCTGCAAGGTGAGTCAAGAAGGTGGCCTTGGTCGATCTCGTCGCCTTCGTCGCCTTGGCTGTCGCCCTTCGCTCGAGCGGCCGCCTTCGCTCGTGGAGAGGCGATGAAGCGCAGGGCGCCCAGAGCGGCGCCGGTGCCAGCGCCCAGCTCCGAGTCTGGGGACCGGCCATGGCGCGTGCGCGCTGGGCACAATGCAAGTACCGCAATGGCCTCCACCCTAGTAACGATGCCCTTTGCTCCTAGTAGCGTGCTTGCTCCTAGTAGTACGGCCAGGAGCCCCTAGTAGCGTGCTTGCTACTACTACTACTACTACTACTACTACTACTACTACTACTACTACT